CGCCGCAAGACGCGCGTCGAGTAGCTCAAAGTTGCTCGCCTCTAATTACGCGGGAATATTTCCTAATCAGTGTATTTTCACTGGCGCCAAGTCTGCGACCTAGCTCGGCTACAAATGCACCGTATCGTGCAGCAGAAAGTACCATTATTCATATGCGAGAGGTTTATTATTACGCGCGAGGAATTTCAACAAATTGAAGTGTCTCTCAGCAAGATGAGATTTGTGTCGGTCGAGTATTTTGTTTTATTTGTTTCTTAATTTTTCTCTCTTTTTTTTCCTAACTCAATCCTATAGAAATCTAACGAAATATATTTGTTATATTGATATTTTATCAAGTATATTTCTGTTGCATTATATTAATATAAAAAATCAAATTTGAATGATATTAAATTATAACTAGAAAACACTCATTTCTAGAAAAGTTGCTATTAGTCTGATATATTATAATAGTATATATTAAATAATATTTTATAATTGTCAGATAATATTTTAAATATAAATTAAATAATATTTAATATAATATATATTAAAATATTATTAAAATCTTAAAATATTAAAGGATTATTTATAAGAAAATTTAACATATTAAAATATTATTTAAATATGGCAGTTTCGTACTGATAAAATGAATAGCGGAAATACTTTTAATTTAAAAAAACCACAGATTTTTTATTATTATTTTATACATTACTTTGTAGATAAACGATAACGATATTATCGTATCTACTTGAATGGCCCATCGAGATTCCTCTCGAGACACTTTTATACGAAACATCCGCATTCGCGGGTTTCTGCGTTGTAAACTGTACTTAAGAAGTGTTAAGAAGGACCGGATGGGGGACTGGTTTTCTGCGAAGGATGCTTTTCAGCATCGTCACGGCGCGCTAGCAAGGGTGCGAAGAGCGAGGGGAGGGCTGAAGGAGCTCGGTATATTTTTTACTTTCATGACGACCTTGCCTGTCGAGAGTGCAAGGATCCCCGCGTTTGTTGACCTCTGCCGAGCATCCTTCTACCCGGATTCGTTGTGCATTGAGGTGCTCTATCTTGTTCGCTATCTTGCTCATCCTCGTCTGCAACCGATGAGGTCCCGGGGTAAACATTCTGCTAGGACGGGATGGGACCACTTCTTCTCTACCGTAGTTATTTTATTTGAATGCACTTGGATGCAATTTTTTAGAATCTTGCCTGCAGCGTCGAGTAATCACTTCAGAAAAGAAATCCACTTGTTTCGAGACACAATTCTACATAATTTTTACGTTAACACCATTTCTATTTACTATTATTCGAAATATACATATCTCTAGGTAAAAAATATTCTTTGAAATAAAAAAAGGTAGATTATGGACTGTTTGAAACATTATAAATTTATTACGTTGTACAGTGATTGTATCTTAGATGTCCAAGCAAAAACTACTTTATATCATTTCTATTTATTTTTACTTATTTTATATATTCTAACTAATTACATAAATATTCATAATTAAATATTCATAATAAATATTCTATATTTAGACGCCGAGGTATTTTCTTGTGCATTCGTGCGTACTTTAATTCTATGTTCTATAATTATATTAACTGTTTATTCATGTCGGTCGAGGCATAAGTGCTACGAAGAAAGCTGGTTGCTAATCCAGATTTAAACTCATTACATGCGCATCAAGTTTTATATCGAACGTCACGAGTCTACGATCTGATACACGATGATTATGATTTACGAGCTATAATTTAATGTAAACAACTATGGGGTCGGGAAACTACGTATAAATGCGATCAGAGGCTTTCTTAATTAGCGTCGATTTGCTTCTATTAACAGATGCTAACGGCATTAAGTAACTCTTATCTCCAGAGAAGTAAACAGATATTCTATAGATGAGAGTAATGACGTTATGTCGCTGGATTTTGCACGGCGTTTCGCTTCAACCGGTAAATTTAATACTGACGCGCAAATTAAGCGGACGAATCATCCCACGAATTCGTGCTACCCGTTGAAACCTGTGAAAGTGGATATAAATTACCTTTATGGCTGTGGACGCTTTCGAAATTTTTGAAGCGCACGGCGCCGCAAATTTTTCACGTAAAAATCGCAAACCGCTGACAAAAGATAGCACGTGAAAGCGCACACAGAGATTAAATATATATTTTTTGAATTTATATCAAGTGCTTGTTTTTTTTTAATTAAACGACACGCTGATGTTTTGCACGTCATCGTTTTAATGTATACATATTTATAATTCGATTTTACACTTGTATGCTGAGCAAGGATTTTGCAACACATCCGGCAGATCTGGTCCTCGCTGCCAATAACGTATCGCGAAACTCGAATGAGTCATTCGATGAATTATCAGCCGTTACTTTCAGTGGCCGCCTGCAAATTCTCGGGCTTATTGTGCACGATGCCATGCGACTCAAGGTCGTGTGACGAATGGGGCGAGCTGATCGCATATTGAATCGATCGATCACTCGGTAATAATTTCAGTTTGAATATTCTGCAATGCTTGCAGGTGTTTTCCAAATGTACACAGTAAGATATATTTTCCGCTTAAAAAGCTATGACAATGATGACATATTTTATTGCTTCCATTTTTCACACTTGTTTTTCACATAAATCTTATTTTGTGAAATCATTTCTTTTTAATTTTGTAGAAATTTTAATAATTATATCTATCAATCATTGAAGAACATCTGAAAGCAAAAATACGATATACAATTTCTAAAACATGAAAGAAATGGTAATAATAAAACGTGTGCTAAATATGAACGTGATTATACTGCACGAGCGCAGAAAAAAATGAGTAAAATTATAATTTTTGGGTAAAAAAATTCTAATGCTATATGTTTAAGACATATAAAACTACTATAAATCGAATGGAGACTGTCTATGTCAGTTTTTATTATTAAGGCGTGTATCTGATCCAACTATCGTACGCTTGCTGAATGAAAGAATACGTGTACCGTCATTAGCAATCTACACGTGTCCATCGCAGTTTCTTTCATCTCGCAGACAGTTTCTTCGATCAACGACTTAGAGTGACGCCGTAAGTTATTTCGATATCCGCAGGAAGGTTGCCTTATTTTTTCGGTCATCGCCCCAGCTAAGTTACAGACATACGTGATCTTTTCTGCTCTAACAATAAAAACACGCCTCCGAAAGAAATTATAATGTTTCCGTTACTCGATCGGACACTAATCGAGTTAATATATATATATATATATATATATATATATATATATATATACACATAGTTACTAGTTAATAGTTAGATATTTTTTGTGATTGCTATAATTTTTAAAATGATTTTTATTTCGATAGTTGCACTTAATAGAATATAATCTTTATTAATTGGTGATGCATTTATAGGAAACTTTAGCTATAACAATAAAAAATTATTTTATTAAAATTATTTTATCATTAAGTGGATATACTTTCAAGTTGCATAGATTTTAAAATAAATTATGCGCTTGTAGAGGATAATATTTTATTAAAGACTAAAGATTATACATATATCAATAAACACAGAAAAACTTTATACCTTGACATTTTCAGTAATCAAAATAATTATTATATTATACTTATATTTATTTAAAAAATAAATTACAAATCAATTTATAAAGCAAATTTTTTGAAAATATGTAAATATAGAGGGAGAGTTTCAATAAAGAGGGAGAGAGAGAAAGTTAATTTATTTACCAATACTAAAAAGATAAATACAAAAGTAAAATATTTCGATGTTGCACCCACACTGTTTTTCATTTATCTCAAGCTTTATACACAACAGGAATATAAATAATTTGTTTTACTAACTTTCATTAGAAACTTTTCGATTGCCAATTCATCAAAGATCTCTCGTTAAAAATTAGTGTGGAAAAAATTGGAAATATGCTAATATCGTATAATCTCAAATCAGATAATTCATCAGAGGATTCTTCGATTTTCTTTCATATTCAAATCCACACATGAAAATCCTCTCACTATTATTTTTTTCTTCTCTGGCATCGATGGAGACCATCCATTGATTAACCAAATGCTTATCTCTTATTACATTCCTGACTTCATCGCGCCATAGCGCATATGCGATATTATGACAGACTCATATGATTTGTTACTAGCAATTATGCAATTGTTATTTTCTCAGATAATAAATAATTGATCTTTTTCTACGCAATTCCTATTAATCATTTCATAATAAAGTCCCTCCTACTGAAGGTAGGAATTGAATTCCTCTCGTGGATGCGCTTTTCTCTTCAACGTTATGTCATAAATTTATTCAGTATATTTATTTATATTAAAAGGAATAAAACAAATATAATGTTGGCAAACAACGATCAGAAAACGTATTAAAATTATAAATCTTAAACATTTTAAATTTTTTCCATAAATTTATTTATCATACATATTCGCAATTTTTCACATTTACATTTTAAAAAAATCTATAGAATGTATTAGAATTTTAATTACTCTTAATAAATAAAATCAAGAAACTGATTTATAAAAGTGTGGCATACAATTCTATGTAGAAACATAATTTTTTTTCTCTAGAAAGTTTATTTGCATAAAATGCGACAACGTTTAATGAAATTCTAGAATATTGTTTGTATATAATACATCATTAATTAGAAAATAAAGCAGAATTTATCCGTTGGTGGTTTATTTAATTTCATACACGAACCTATCCTGACTAAAACGAAGGCGCGATAGTATATAAATACAGTTTGTACGCGAAAGTCGGTAAAAGATGCTGATTATTTGATAATTCTTTAATTAACGAACCGCATTAGTGAATTCGTTAATTAACGCTGCATCGCCGATTCGCGGGTTTTGCTGATATCGATCACGATTTACGATATCATATCTCGTTGAAGAAATTTTTCAAACGTCTCAAATGGGGAAAGTTTGTATAATTACACAGCTCCTGCTGGGACGTCCGGAAATGTTTTTTCGCTCAAGTCGGACGAATAACGAAGCAACTCATGCTCAATCATTGATGCTTTTTTTTCCTCAGGTCTGATGATGGAATCGGAGAAGAAAATCTTCGAGATGATGAATAAGAAGGCGGCCATGTCCAAGTATTGGATGCCGCTCGTCTGGGCGACTAACATTATTAACAGGGCGAGGAAGGAGGCCCTAATTACTAGCGATCAAGTAGTGCAAACTCTTCTTGTCGAGCTCAGCGATATCCGGAAGAGGCTTGGCGCACTGATTGGCTACGATACTGTTTGCGTTCCTCTAGTCTACACTCAGGTAAGTATTTCGCTGAATGAAATTAAATTGTATTAATTGAATACGGCAATTATTTCTTTAAAATTTGTATTATTTCTATAGATTGTGAAATATATTTTTGCTTTATATACACACATATAAATATCTATTTTACGAATATCAATAAATTCACAAACAAATGTTAGATATCAGATTAATTGAATTTGACTAATAGATAAAATGCAAAGAAATTATAAATAAGAAAAATAAATCTCGAGGACAATCGTTCGTGAAGACTGCTTACAAATCCATTTGGCAATTCCAAGAATAATAAAATTCTCTATTCTGTGATTTTTGCACTTTTTTGCACATGCAAGAAAGAGCAGAGAAAATATTATTTTTATAGCCATTGCCCATTCCTTTTCATGCTAGAACTGTGAAAGGAATAATTATATGTCGATAATGCTACTTGTCATTGACAGATATCGAATATGTTATATGAATGTCTTCATCGTTCTGCAGTAATCGTGCCATTGTCACGCTTTAAGTGCCACAAGCGTGACGCATTTATTATGTAATTCTTCAACTGTATCCTACATTAAAAGCATCAAACTGTATCCTATACATTATTTACATTTTATTTGCAATTTTGGATATCAAACTGAACTATAGATACATAGGAAAAAAATTCATCATATTTATATAAAGAAGCATATATTGTAGAAAATATTTCATTATCTCAGGAGTAAATTATTTAGTCGTTTTTTTAAAGCAAATATTGGTGAAATTTAAATAAGTTTAAATATATTATATTGTTTTTTTATTTGATATATTCATTTCGTTCTCTTTAGAAAAAAAATGTTGTTATGTTTGTTATTAATTAAAATTATGCAGAAATATATCTCTGTAACATGCAATTTTTGTTAAACAATCAGACAATCTTCTTTATCTTATTTTCATTATACAGTAATTCTCTTTATCTAGTCAAAGAATTCAAAATAATATATTTAAGTATGTTGAGATCGTAAAGTGGATCCATTCTCAGAAAGACATATTTCATGTTCGTAATTAGCCGACATGTATTGTGCAATTGTAATTGTTCTTTAACTAACTTTCATAAATTGTCGGGTGTACAAATGCTATCTTCGAAGAACTAAAACTGTGCTATTTCGCAAATCTGGATGAACGTGATGTGTCGGGAGAAGCTTTGCTCGATCTTTGTTATTGAGTGTGTATGTGTATGTTTCGTAATATTCTCTATTTTTTGTTCTACTATTTTTAAATGTTTTTCCTAATTCATTAATTATTATTAAATTTATAATTAATATTATAATTAATATTATACTCATTAATATGTCACAAGTACTTGAATATAAAATATAAAATAATTAAGAACAGAAATTTCTTTGTTTAAAATAATATATACAAAATAATTAATATATTTAAAACGTAGACAGATATTATGTATGTGAAACTATTATAAAATAATTATCTTTTGAACAAATTTTGTCATTAATTAGGGAAAGGCAACAAAGCAATAATACATTTGAATTTGTGTTTGTGTGTGTGAATGTAATCTTTTCTTGTATAAATCATGATATAAATCTTTCTCAAAACGATAGTACGATTTGATATACTCCGTGAAATCGCAAAATGATTACGCGTAATTACCGTAGAGTATTCACCGAATAATGATACATGAAGATTAATATATTCGTTTTATGCTCGATGTTATTGCATACGTCTGCGTTTACATTGCAAATGTTTTCGCTTATTCGTGCAACAAACAATTTTAAAAAGCTGTCTTGCCGATACTGTGAATCGCGTTTTTAAAAGAAATATTTAATCCGAATCTAACATATTTTCTGTACAATATGCAATAGAAATAATATTCATTTTTTTATTACATTCATATTTTTTTATATTTAGATATATGTATTGTATTTAAAAAAATGTATATATTTAAATAAATCGTATTAATAAAGAATTTACAATGTGAAATAACACATTTAATGATATACTTTGAAAAAATATATATTTACAGCATGTCAATAAAAAAAACAATAGGTTAATAATTAAGTTTAATTGCATATTGGATAATTATGGTTAACAGCACATTTATTATAATATATACATGTAATATAATAAGTTTAATTAAAAACATGCCTTTCAACCAACGGATGCAGCGCGGATAATGAATCGTGCATGAAACACGAAGCCAATACGTGTTGCATGGTCAAGGCCGTCAAGAGAGTTGAACAGTAATTTTATCGCGATACGTCACGCCTTCGAGAATAATTTCGCGTTGCATTCGAGAAGAATCCTTTGGACCGGCGATTCTCCGAAATGTTCAAAGTTCATATTTGCGACATTTATTTGTTGTACGCGCACGTGTGTAAGTCGCGTTATACTTTTGCATAAACCACTGTTTCCTGGTAACCTTCGATGGGAAAGGCAGCGCTCGATATTGCAACGACCTTGATATTCATTCATTAAACCTGTTTGCCTGTACTTGCGCGATGGAAAGAGAAGCTTATAAGAAGCGATAATTTTCAACGAGCCCTCGGGATTTCCGGTGGCAAGTGTGTTTCCTGTCATGATTTTTCCTCTTGAATAAAACTGAGTTTTGAATGAAATAAACTGTATCATATATGCTAATTTTCCTCATTAATATCAGTAGTTAGTTTTTTTTCTCAAAATAATAAATGCAAATGAAAAAGTTCCATAATCGCCGTTTTTTTATCATAATGATGTAAGAGGAAAGAATCTCTTGACATAGAGCTCTCAATTGTACTTTCAGGTGGTAACACTATCACTATACGCCTATTTTTTCTCAGCTTTACTCGGTAGACAATTTGTCGCGCAAAGCGCCGGGAAGTATGAGGAGCCGGACATGTATTTTCCATTTTTTACAACGTTGCAGGTAATTGATAATAATTGATATTATCTTCATTTGATTGCAGAATGTTGTATCGGAAATTTTTTCACATAATATTTAAGATGTTTTTCATGAATACTCAATATTGTTCTTGCAGTTTTGTTTTTATGTCGGATGGCTGAAAGTCGCCGAGGTGTTAATTAATCCCTTCGGCGAAGATGACGACGATATCGAGCTGAACTGGCTGATAGATAGGCATATTAAGGTAGATAATTATAACAATTTTAACTTTACATTCAAATAATCTACAAACTTATGAATGTGTTTTTTCATATATAATATTATATTGAAATAGATATTGCAATAAAAAAAATTCGTGCACATAAAGACACATTTTTCGCTACGTATATCTTAGTTTTTATATTAACTTTCGATGTATTATGTTTGTGCAATTTTTCTTATCTTGTCATCTCAATAGGCGGGTTACATGATCGTTGATGAGATGCACGAGGAACATCCGGAACTTCTGAAAGATCAATACTGGGACGAAGTCGTACCCAAAGACTTGCCGTACACGGTCGCCAGCGAGCAATATCGAAAAGAGGAACCCAAAGGCTCCGCGGAGCATTATAAAGTAAAAGATAGCGATGCTCTTTATGCAAATGTTATGCTAGGTACACAGATTCATAGTCACGTTCATCATCGTAAGGCTCATCAAGATGATATGTACGCCGATTACGTAAGTGAATTGTTCAAGCACGATATTAAAATAATTTTATATAAGCAGTAAACATTGTATTCTTATGTTCAATCTAAACACATTCTCTTATTATTTAAGATAAAAAGATATGCAATTTATATACATAATTTATGTTCATAATTTTTATAATAATTGTAATATTAAATCTGTCGCGTTTATTAGGAAAGTGTGGACACCCCGTTGGTAGAACGAAAGAAGAACGGATGGTTCCAACGACAGATCACGCGAATGGGTTCGGTACGCAGTTCCTCGACCACGTATAGCAGTGGCGGTGGTTTCTTTGCACGAAACAGACATAATAGCGTATACAGCAGTCCTGAAACTGGTGGTCTCCCACAAACGAACAATCCTAATCTCAAAATGTCTTTCTATGATCGTCTCGTGGGGCGCAAGAGCATTCGCAGTCAACGCATGGGTCGTCAAAGTATGTATATCGAAAAAAAGATGATAGGAATTGAATAATACGATAAGAAAAAATTTAATAAAAAAAAGCAAAGTGACATTTTATACAAAAAATTAAAATTATAACGACGACGATTCGTTATATTATGAATATTACGTAATATTTTTATGCAATAATACATTTATTCCGTGATGTTATATATGTCAATTTATTATTCTAAATTTATATAAAATTTAAAACAGCATAAAAAAATAAAAGAAAATTAAAAAAGTATTTAAACATGCTTTAAAAAATAAAAAAAGACTAGCATAAAATACATAAAAAAATAAAAGAATTATTTACACATGCCATCTTTTTTTAACCAATTTTATTATTTTTATTTAAAATAAACGAAAGATATATGATATTATTGCAAGTAAGATACATTATTAAAATTATTATAATTATCTCTAAAAAAATGAAATATGAAAATTCTTTTTCTCATCAGTCTTATATTTTTTTTCATAATGCTGAAATATTGTCATTCATCTCGTTAACATGTTTTCCTTGATAGTGCGGGCGTTTTGAATCGAACATTTTTTCCTCTGAGTCATGACTCGTTTTAAAAGAAAGTCTCGGAGAATCGCAAGCTTTTCCTTTATTGCTTCCATGTATGCGCGAGATTACGTAATGTTTGATCTTGTGCGACCTCCGTGATTTCCGCAATTTCTGCAATTATTTCCTTCGAGTTCAATAATAAGACAACTCTCTAAAGAATCCTTGTACTTCTTTCTATTCTTTTCTCCCCAGGAGAGCCTCGATAGGAGAAAGATAGCACCGTTAAAATACCATATCCGCGTAATTATATTCTCGCCAACGATGATGACGATAACTCGATATGTCTCCTGTCTGGCGCCAAAGCAATGGTCTAAAACTCATTTCCACGCTCATCCGTGGCGTCGTCTCTAGACGGGAAATGTCTTGCGATCGTTAATTTAATCGGCAATGTCATTACCTATTTTCTACGCGCGTCCTCGAATCGATCATCCCGAATCCGGAATCACTGTCATTTTAACAGTTATGACGATTTTCTTCTAATTATAGGCACTATGACGAAGCTGAATTCAGTGCCAGTATCCTTGAAGAACAGGCCGCGTATACCGACTCCAGATGTGACGAAGGAGGTGGTCGACCGTGAACAAAGGTTGGCACTGTCGGCCACCAATGCGGCGAACATCGGCGCCGGCGTGGTGGGTGTGATACCAGCGAACGGTCATTATCCGACAGACCTGTCGGTGGTGGTGCTGTCGCCGATACAGGAAACGGAGAGCACACCATCCTCGGGGAAATCTGGCGCGGCGGCCTTGGCACAGGCCGTACTCTCGCCGACGTTGACTAGCGCCGGTTTGATGACACCGGTGACTTTAACGCCAGTTACCATGAGCCACCTGACGCAGTTAGGTCTGATGACGACGGCGACGGCGACGATGTCGCATCTCAATGAGGGTAACAGCATCCAGGCGACGTTGACGGAAGTCAACAGCAGCGAGGAAGAGGGTAGCGGAAGTGGCAGTAGTAGGAGCGGAAGCATCACCGGTCAGGAGGACCGCTCGACACCATTGATTGATAACAATAACAGCCCGATGGGCAGCAATGGTAGTTCGCCCACTTTCGACAGTTACAACGATCGCTCGCCGATCCTGATGAATCCTGAGAAATTAGGCTACGTTGTCACCGCCGCTCTACCCGGTGGGCAAAATATCGCGGTGGCGGATGCGCGAGGTAGACGATCGGCGTCGTTGCCTGGTCCGCCACCGGTCGTTCAATTAGGTCGCGATGACAGAAGTATGTCGTTACCGCAATCGCCGGGATTGCAATCAAGAGAAATTCGTACAACTTCGATGGCGAATGGTCTCACCATCGTGGACAAACTGATGTCCGGCAATCAGGGCATTCGACCGAGGACTAACAGTTTCGGTCACGATCTCTCCAGGTCTAATCAACGGGTCCAGGACACATCGAGAAAGATCAGTAGTGTCTCGTGTACTAATGCGTCGCTTTCGAGCGGTTTAGGATCAACGTCTTCCACGTTGTCCACGAACGTGTCGCCTGTAGCAACTGTCGCCGGCAGCAAAAGAGGCGAAGTTTATGTTTGATAGAGGAAATCAACACACACGGACTTTAATTCATTTTATTAATTAGAAAATAATTTAATTAATTAGAAATTTATTGGCAATTCCTGAGATTTGTGTCCGTATATTATTGTGATGTATATTGTATGTGCATCGCATACGGAAGCATCTGTACGGAAAAAGATTTTTTTTGATTGTCTAGTAACGAGAATGCTTAGATCAATTTTTGCTTAAAGTATATCTCGTATTTTTGTTTATAAAATACAGTCAATATTAATCTGTACAATCTTATGATTTTATGATTATAGAACTCTTGTTTATTTTCTTTTAATTTATAATTTGTCTTTACATTTGTCTTTGTAGAGATAACTCTTAACAAATGAGAGAGATAACATTTTGACAAATACAAAGAATAGCTCACGCCATTCTATCTTTTATAGTTTTGCATCCTACTTATAATGTTTATTTTATTTGTTTATTTTGTATATATTTTAAATTGTATATATATTTTTTGAAACGTTCTATGTTTAAGAAAAAAGAGGTTTCAAATGATCTACTGCAAATAGGCATTGGCAGTATTTTTTACGATTTTATCTTTAACGATTATAATAAAAATATAATAGAAAATAATTTGTAGATCGCACACTATTGTATTATAAATAGTAATTTATATGTCATATAAAGATTTCATACGTGTAAAATTAGAACGTTTTTAAAAGAAACTTCAAAGAATAACTGAAAAATATTTAAAAGATCAAGATATTTAAAAATAAAACTAGAAATTTAAGAGGCGAAATTTAATTAAATTAAAATTTTTTTAAAACGTATAAAATCATATTATTTCATTGTGTTGCGTAACTTTGTTCATTATTTATTTGAATTTCATATTCATTGTTTGAATAAATTTTTTTGTATTTATATCTTGATGTATAAATTAAATGAAGAAATATTGCTTTTTTATTCCTTTATAATTTATAATGATCAATCTATGTAAACATATATTTAAAATGTTTGCTATAATCATGAAATTATTTTGACATGAGTGTAAGATGATCGATTCCCGTAAAAGTTGAGGAAAAAATTGAATAATTTAATTACTAATCGATTATTTACATTCGCAACAGACATAGATGTAATATGTTTAAAGTGTTTTGACGATTTAATGAAAAATATTAAAGATATATTTATATTTTGTGCAATAATGTAAAAAAGCAATTATTAGATTAATAATGCATACTATTACTATAGTTTGTAATACTTACTCATATATCGTAATTTTGTTGTAAATTCGTTTACTCGTATACGTCATGAGCGATGCGATATCACCTTTTATCTAATATGACGTTTTGTAAAATTTGTTAAGTCGATTTGTGCTTAAGTCGATTTATAAAATCAAGATAAATCAAACTCACTCATTAATCATGTAATATAATCATATACTTTTGTACATAGCATACTTTCCACTCGTCTTTTATTTCGTTAAAAATTTTCTTTTATATTCGTATTGCCATAATTTATCAATAACATATTATTCATTTCAAATATAAAATATTGCCTAGATAATAATGCATTAATATATAATAAGCGTATTTACGTAGATAAAACAAAACATTTTATTTGCCATTTTAGCACATTTATGGCACCAATTAATAACATGCTGTTAGAATATTTATTAAAGTTTAAATAGACATAAAATCATTTTTAATATTTTCATATATGTATATTTTATTTTATTCAACTTTTATCGATAATATTCGAAAAATTATATTGGATGATGAAAGTTATGTAATGAGTGTCAAAATGTGAATGACCGGAATAGTGTAGATGGATGGAATATGTAGAAATTTTCTAAGAGAAATTGTAAAATATTTTTTTTTGTAAAATATTTTTATAATACATAGAAACCACTTTAGAACAAAGTGCTTTTTGTTTGTGCATATCGATGATTATTATGCAAGCACACTAGCACGAAGTATTTATAATAATAAAGTCAGTTATTACTTATTGTTATTGCTATATATTATATAATAGTATACTGTCGAACGCGTCTTAATGCACAGTAACTTGTGGAATGTGACAAGAATGTATATATATATGTTCTTTTTTGAAATGCGAAATATTTAATATGCTCAATGTGCGTATAAACCTAAATTATAAATGATAAAGTACTATATATACATCGTAAACTATGTATTATATATTACTAAATATCATTTCATCGCACACATGTCAGTACATATAAGTACTATTTTTTGATTGTGATGGAAGCATATAATAATTTTTCACAGTGCAATTTTATTTGCAGTAAATTATTGAAGTTAATGCGAGTATGATGTTTATGGATGAATTTATCAAATATCTTGATGTATTTATATTAGAGCTTATAATCATAAACAAGCAAGACGTATAATTTTTATAAAATTAGAAAAAATTAAGTATATCAATATGTCAGAGATATCTTTTTAATTTTGGTTATATTTTTAAATTATAATTATAAGAAAAGTAAAATTTTTATTTTACTTTTTACTTTATAATTTTAATGATTTTAATTATTTAAATGATTAGTTTCAAACTGATCAATTTGACGCGTGTACATCAAGTGGTTCCATATTGTATGTATCGTATGTTGGGCTTCCATAAAGACTATTATTATGATATAATATTAAAACAAAGGAATTATATATATATATATATATATATATATATATATATAATAGTTATTTGTAATAATTGTATTATGTAATATATAGCCAATTTTTGCATATATCGGTCTGTGATGAACAGAAAAAAAAAATAGAAAATATTGCGTGTAGACACAATATTGATACTTATTTATAATATTATTAAATATTTTGACGATTAATCGAACGGTTATAACAATGTCTATATGTATGTAATGACTGTTCGTCTTTAACTTCTTATATTCGACAACGTAATGTAAGGAGAAAGAATCCAATATTGTAGATATTTAATTTACTGTACTTGTATATAAATATACTCCTTGTTATATCTGCCACAAATGCCTAATTATTATCATGAACAATTAAAGATGCATAAGTGACTGCTCTGAATTTGTTGGTGCTTATTTACGTATATGTATCTAATTATATTAGCGATGGGTTTCATATTATCTTTCATTATCTATTATCAATATTAAAATAAATACTTTGTAAAAATGAGCAAGTGTAATTTAGTTTTCGGAATTTTTTATACTTTTTTCGAAGATTGCATTATGTTCAAATTATCCCGTTATAAGAATGGTTAAAAAGAATTAATGATTTTAAGATTAAATCTTAAGTTATAAATAAAATAAAGTTTCTTGCTTTTATATATCTTTATAATAAAAGTTATATAATTTATTATTATTATTTCTTTTTAAATTATTACATCTCTACAAAAACTTGCACAATTTTAATAAATCAAAGAAAAAAATAAGTTATTTTTTATTAGCAATAATTAAATTTTATTATATTGATTTATTAAAAGAAATATTTTTTATTCTTTAATGTCAAATAAAATCATTTCTTTCAGAAATTGAAAATTTGATAAGACACAAGATATACGATATTTACAAATGATTTCTGAATCAAAATAAAATAATATGGATAATTAGATTTTACTTGCGATAAAATAGCATTATTTATTAATTTAAAATAAAAGATAAAATGTTCAGCATTAATTATATCATAAAGTTTATATCATAAAGTAATGTTAAAAGTATTAAATATTTCAAGATAATAGTCTAAATTAACTATAAAATAGTTATTTAGCCTTTACAGCTTTATGTTACTGTTATCATAGACGCTTAGCATGTTGTCATTCACGCGGCGACACTTGAGCAAGAAGGTAATGAGATGTAAAATATTTTATAGATTGTCGAATTCTTTTTTGAAATGTGATCGCGATATCGAGAAATAATTTGGTATGATTATCATGATTAATAATTAATTAACTTTAAGAATAATATGATTTTAACACCATGATTTGGGAAGATAGATTTCGAACGCGTATGTTAAATGATTTAATGATTCGATTAATCAAGTCAAAGAATAAAATATATATATATATATATATATATATATATATATATAAATTTTTATATTATTATTTTATTGCAATTCTTCCGGACAATAATTGTTTCTCCAATGATACTTGAAATCAGATACATTTTGTTCACTGCTACACTATTCGACTTTTGGACGATTTAAATATAATTTAAATTCAAAATACACAATGAAATAATCGAATAATAAGATCGAGCAATTAGCATAATGAAAGAATTGGTAATATAATTATTTAAAAATTATAATTTATAACTTAAAATATTTCTATAATTTAATATTCCATGTGTGTGTATGTGTGTAATGTTAAACGTAAAATATTTCGGCAACAAATTGACAACAACATGGCCTATTCGGCCTTGACGGTTATAGAGCGCTATTGTTTATATCTTACGGTCTTCACGGCTATCATTTGCGTGTCGCTATTCGAACAGCAAAGTAATAATACAAAACGCTCCGTCACAAATTCCTTTTAAAAATGTGTTCGCGATTAATATTGAAAAATCATTTTCGATCATGAATACAAATAATGATTAATTATTTTTTGGCATACGATAACGTATTGCAATGATCTTTATTGAAACGCAATCATTCTTTATTACAAGTATATATATATAATCATAATATGTAATAATATCTCAGTAATAAAATAATAAAACCATTTTCGGTCTTGATAGTGTATGATGCGCTAATGTGATGTGCTCCGGTTCTGTTATGTTTTGTGCGATTTTTACGAGCAGAAATTATTCTTTTTTAATAATATTTATAGAATCAAATATAATCGCGACGCTTTATCTCGTTCTATTTTTCAATTATTTAAATATAATTTAAATACAAAACGCACAACAAAACAATCGAATCGTAAATCGAAGTAGCGAAGTAAATCGAAGTTAACATAATGAAAAGCTTCGTGATACATCAATTCTTTAATAAATATCATTTATTTAATCTAAAACACTCCTTTACTATTCCGTGTAGACGTTAAAGTACGCAAAATATTTCGGCAATGAATAGACAATAATACGTCCGGCCTGGGCGGCGTATGACGTGTTGTGTTTACATCTCACAGCCTCGATATCATTCGCACGGCAACACTCGAGGAGTAAGGTACGAAATAATTTCTATAATGCCAAATTTTCTCTCTAACTATAAAACGCAGTCGCGATTAGTATTGAAACATAATTCGCTATGATAATTATAATTAATGCTTACTAAACTTATAATCGTAATTATTACGCGATCGGGAATGCCGTGCAAAGTGTCTCGCGATCGTTGCGTATATGATTAACATTAATTAATCCTCTTTTCGGGAGTGAATGTGGATGCAACGAAAAAATAGCAAGGAGAAGAAGCAAAGGAGAAGAAAGCAGAGGAAAAGAAAAGCAAGTCTGAAAAAGCACTGGACAACATACGGAGCTGCAATATGCGGTAAATAATTTGTAAATTATTTATTATTTATATTTATCATTTATATTCAAACTATATTATATATATTATTTATATTAGATTTATATACATCATTTATATTTAGATCATATTATATATTGCTTGTCTTTTTTTTCACTCCCTCTCTCTCTCTCTCTCTCTCTTATTCCAAATTATCTAAATTATTTCAATTTTTAAATTACATTAGTATAACATGTATATATAAAATATTCTGGATTTCACTTTAATATATTTAAAATATCTATAATAAAATGTTCTTGTACTAATTAATATTTTTATATAGATAGTAATATTTTATAATTTGCTTCACAATAATATATTATTTAGATATTTTTTGCATTAAAGAATTTGAATTTTTCTATTTTCATAAGTTTATAAGTTCAAAAAAGAATTTATATAGTATATTACAAAATATATTTTATATATAATATATATTATATTATATATAAAATATTATATATAATATAACCCTCCCATGTGGTACACCTTGTCGCGGTGGGAGGGCTTAGTACTTGGATGGTGCCTTGAAGTTTATTTTAAATTTTTTAATTTAGAATAAATCTCAAGGAGCCTGAAGAGGAAGCTAAGTACCTTTTCGCGTCGTCGGTGCCGTCAACGTGTCGCGGACGGCGGCGTCTTGTTACCGCGTTTTCGCGTTTAACCTTTTCGCGTCATCGCTCGTTTTTCGCCCGAAACCGGGAGTGCCGTTTAAAGTATGTATATATTAAATATATACATCGCGCGACAAAACAGAACATTTTTAATCGTATCGAATAGTGCGGGAGTGCCGTTCAGTATCGTGCGTAAAATAACGAAAATAGCGATATAAAAATATCGCTCGCGAGTGCGGGAGTGTCGTCAAAGTATCGCGCGCCAACAATATGAGAGGAGGAGGAGGAGGCCTGGGAGAGGCATCAGGCACCTGAAGCAACTCTATGGTAAATAAATTATCGCTTATATATATATATATATATATATATATATATTAATTGCGTACGCGCGATTTAAATTAAGTAATTAATTGCGTAATTTAATTTTTTATTTACATGATTTAAAAAAAGAGAATTGGAGAAAAAAATTTGTATAAAAACTATAATCTTGTAAAAATATGAGCTTATACAATTATTAGAGAATTATTAATAAAAAATTAATAAAAAAATTTTTTTTTTAATTCATAGAATTATTTTATTAATCTATTTACTATTATATATCAAATATAAAATTCAATGCGTACGATAGTATTTTTTTTGAAATATTAATTATTTTAGACGCTACTGCATCTTCTATTTGTATGTTATAGATGAACGTATCTACTTTGATAACCTGCGAGGAGGAAGAGGCCTAGGAAAGGCATCCTGCACCAGCGGAACAACCTGATGGTGTGTATTATTATTATATTATTATATTAATTATTATATATAAATTGCGTACACGTATCAATTTAATTCATTTATTGAATGATTTAAATAAGAAAATATTAGGAAAATTTTTATAAAAATTCTTTCTATAAAAATTTCTACTTAAATATAAATTATTTATAAAATTATTTCACATTTACATATCTACATATAATTGTACGTATCGAATATAAAATTCAATGCGTCCAATAATAATTTCCTAAAATATTAATTATTTTAAACCCTGTTTCAATTTGGATTTTATATTTGTGTTACAGACAACGTAGCATCAATAACAACTCCGCTGTTGCGCATCAGTGCCGGTGAGTGACACACTTTTATTTTGAGGCAATGGATTTATAAATGCATGTAGATAAATTCGTTGCTTCTAACTCTCGGACGGCAGGATAATTGCCTATACGAACATTGATTAATTTTAAATTATAAAATCAAAAAAATTTTTTCTGTTTGTATTTATATTCTAAAATAAAATTATAAAATATATTATAAATTGTAAATTTACTATATTTTTAAACTTTTTATTAAAAGAAATACTAATGAAAATTAAAGAAAAAGCAAAAATATTTTTAAAATAAAGATATATTAATTGCAATTTTATGCAAGATATGTGAAATATTTTTATTTCCATTATAAATTTATAGTATATATATATATATATATATGAGTATTACAAAACAATTTTAAAGATATAGTTTTTAATAGTCCGCCGACCGAGAGTTAAAATGCATGCTAATTATTTTCTATATATGCATGATGATTTACATTTTGTGATTTTTGACGATTAAACGACATGTACGTCTGAAAAACGATTGTAATATCATACAATCGCAAATAAATTAATCGTCTTATATGCCGATGATAATAATTAATCGGCAAGAAAGAAATTATTCTCCTTTGTTAATTTGTGACTCGTAGAAATCGAGTCAGAATCAATGGCTAGAAGTAAAAGTAAATGTCACTGGATTGAAAAGTGATTGATATTGGCCAGAAAATATGCGTGAAAAAAAAATATTTTCTTATTTATAGGTGCGTGCGATGACACGCAATTAAAAACACGCGAAGTTCGGTCCAAATTAAATTGCGTGATTAAGGCTCTCTAAATCTTATGTGATTGTGAATTTCTCGTTAGGACTCCTTAAATTTCACGTTATCGTGAATTTCTGATTAGGGTTCCCCAAATTACAAATTTTTACTGGTGTAAGTCAAGAAATAGGGTAGGGCAATTAGATCTGCTGGGACTGCTATTAGAGCCGCTAGGTAGAGCAAGTAGGCCTGGTAGGGCTCTCTGTTAGGGCGGCTAGGCAGGGCAACTAGGTTTGTTAGGGCCGTTAAGTAGGCATACTAGGTTTGTTAGGGCATTTAAAAAAAGTTTAAAATTAAAGTAAATATATAGCTGTATAATTAAATTAATTTTTAGGGAAATAAAAAAAAACAAATATATCTTTCATAAACTTAATTAAATAAATTACACATAAAAAATTAAAATCAATTATAAAAGAAAACTTGTAGGATGAAAATTAAAAATTTAATTTATAAATAATTGTAAAAATGTAACTTAAATGTATAAACTACATTGAAATTGCATTTATATATAATATTTAACATTGTAGCTTTTGTAATATTTTTTAAATTGTATTAGTATTTTATTTTGTAAATTGTATGTTCTTAAAAGTTATACAATTTCAAATTTAAATGTAAATGTTATTAGTATTTAATAATTAATATATTGAGATTAATATATTGAGAAAAAGTATAATTCAAATTAAATAATTTTTAACATTTTTTATTTCCCATATAATTTGACATATGTCATATCAATTAGTGTAAATAATAGGAATGATGTAATTTCTTAATGTATTAAGAATATCGATACTGATAACATTTAATTATTAAATTGTATCTATAAATTGTAATTATATAATTAATTATTTTTTGTAATTTTCTTATATTTTCTATATAATTGTACACACGCATATATATATATATATATATATATATATATATATATATAAATTGTAATTATATAATTATATATATATATATATATATATATATATATATATAGTAATAATCTAATTTTAATTCTTTATTGTAGTCCATTGTAAATTACGTGAAATTGAAAGAGTACGTACAATAATAATATATTCGCTAAATTTATCTGTTTGATAAATATATATTTAATTTCAATATTTTTATTCTAAATTTTTCCAGTATTAAATTGCTTACTTTTTATGTTAAAAGATTGTTAATAAGTTCGGGAAATTATTACTTAAAAATTTTATAATCGCGCGCAAATATCGTTAAAGAAATTGTTCTATATAAAATAAATAATATTAAATAAGAATAATGAGATTCGATATTAACCAACGATTAAATATCAATTTCTTACTCCCAAAATTTGTTGATCGCGCTTTTGCAAAACACTAATGTGCTCGAAAGTAAAATATTGCAAAAAATAAAATATTATCGATCACACGTGGAAATTAAAATCAAAATAAAATAATTTACTATAAATATCAATCTTGATTAAAAGTATTTCGCTAAATTCGCGTTGCGTTAAATATTCACTAAACATTTAAACAAATATATAGCGAATAATTGCGTTTTTTCTATGTTTTTGGGCGCGATTGCTGACTCGGCGAAAAAGTCTTATCGCTATCCCTTATGTCAGGTGGACGCTAGCAAATGCGCGGTTTGTACTGACGAGGAGTCGAAACGATCCTCGCGGAGAGTTATTTCTCATCGGTTTTTGTGGGACCTATTCGCAATGCTTAGTTCGGTGCTTCATTAAAAATTAAAAGTTTTCGTTATAGAGTTGGAATTAAACCCAGATTTTCTTGGCGGTTCCTAGAAACAATGTTTTTGACAGTAATTAAACGACGATCGCCATAAATTTGTTTGAATCAAATCACGAAATTAAATTTATACTTTGGAAATAATAAATTATATACTAAATGATATACTTTTGAGAGAAAATATATTTTCTTCGTTTAATTAAGAATGTTCTTCCATTAGTATTTAAATTAATATCAGAATCTTAATGAAAATAATAGTAGAGTAAATATGGATATAATAGAATTCATTTTTTCAAATATATAAATTTAAAATAAATTTTGCAAACTTTTTTGATAAAAAAAGTGTGGTTACAAACAAATATATTTTATTAATTAATTTTGAATTAATTTAATTTTTGGTCTCTTTTAAGAAACCATTTGCAGGCACTGGACGTCCCACCATTTCATTTTATACTTAATTTATAGACAAGTGTATAATAAAACACATGCGCAAATTATGTGATATATTTGATATAACTCATTTTTGTATTATACTTAACATTATATTATGAATGCATGAATATGGTTTCAAATATGCAAGTAATTAAGAAACCGAGACGAATTAAATGGGTACTCTGATATCAATAAGATGTATTCAAATTATTAAGATGTTATAGAAAAATTAATTGATAATTTTTTTTGTTGCTGCTAAATATTTGAATTGAATTTTTATTTAAATCTTGCTGTTATCGGGTTTGATTTGTCTCGAGCACATGGTACCCTAAAATTAATTGTACTCGCATATTTAACCAAATAATGATAAAAACGCATGTATTTTATTCTTCTTAAATATATTTGATTGTAACCACGTGTACGTAAAAATCGTTATATCCATTTTTTAATAAAGAAAGTACAGTATTTCTTAATAATGGAAAAAACATTTTTTTCAAACGAATTTTTATCTTATATATTTAAAATGATGACGATAACAGTCGTTAATTCACTGCCGAAATCATTGTTATCGGGAGCAATCAGGAAGATCAGGGATTCATTTCATCCTGTAATAAGACTTTTAATGTTCACAAAATCACTTAAAAATCACTATCTTTTGCGGATCGAGTCCACGGAATCTAAAATGAAAATAAGACAAATTGAGATCGCTTTCCACTTTTAGGATCGTTTTTCTCTCTGTCAGACATTAACCAGCGTGTCACTCGGCAGAGGAATCTTGATCTGGACTAATCGTCGGGCCAGTTCCTTCCTTGAACATGGCGATAATGCAATTATTTTATTTATCTAATTATAAAGTCTATTTTAAATTTCATTTGCGGTTTGCAATTATCCGTGAAACAAGATTTATATCTCATTTTTGATCGCGAAATTTTTACATAAAAAGGTACGCATTTAAAAATAAATTGAACATTCAATTTTGTCTCCGCGTTTAATATTATTACAGATAATGAAATGCGTCTCAAATAATAAAATATACACATAATTAAATATACAGAGAGATAATGAAATATAATTACAGAATTATGAAATGTCGCCACTAATTTTTATTATCAAAAATGATAATAATTATATCGCGCGTGCACGTGTGTTTTGATTATTATAAATTACATATATCGTAATTAATACGTTACAATTACTGTGAATTTAATTATTTATCATACATTAAAGTTTGCGAAATTTAAGTTGAGATTTATATTCTAATTTGTTGGGTAAGATGTATAAGATGTATATTCTAATTATTGGGTAATATCGAAACTCTTTATTTTTCTGGACAATCGGATATTATCCCAGTTCACAAAATGTGTTAAAATCCCAGATATACTTTCTTAATTGAGAGAAATATAATCATTATTAATGATTTTTTAATCGCGATATTTTATCAATTTGATCTGAAAATGAAAATTTTTTACATTGTGCGTATTTCGGATAATTTCATGTAATATAATATTTTAATATAATATTTTTTATGCGTCCCATATAAATATGTATGTAAATATGTAAACAATAATTCAAGTCTGTGTATATTTATCATATATTATACATAATATTAAGTCTACATGTGCTAATGCTCTCAATATCAAGTTATCCATGTTATTGGATAAATTTGGATAAATTTGAATATATTTATTTAATATTGCATCATCAAAATTTATATAAATTATACTATAATTATAATATATATTTTATAATCTTTTATGTAATTTTATGTAATTGCGTAATTTGTAAATCATATTTTGTAAGTATAATAATATATATTTTAAAAATTCTTTGTATTATCTTTTTTATTCGGCAAATTTGATAGACTTGTATTTAAAAAAATAAAAATAAAATAAAAAAAAATTTCCTCCTCGATGTATCTCCACCTTAACGAAGGTATTTTTGCCGGGTGAGGAGGTTTGAGTACTCTAATGAATCTGAGAGCTATGCCGGCGATAACATAGGCCGGTATTCATATAATCTATTTTTATATTTAAGATCATCTTAAGATGATTTTA